TGCAAACATTCTCTCCATTCTTCTCCAGTTGTTCCACCACCACTGACTGCCCCCTAAGCGTTTCATCTAACCTTTCAAGTTGCTCTTGTCAGTTTGATCTCACTTTGATAATTCTTTAAAACAGCATGAAGCTCAAGGCAGACATAGTTTACTTATTAAGATACACTATTATCTTTTTTACTCTTTTAACTCACTGCACTACTCAGTTAAAACTGTGGCAAGAAATGAAGAGAATAACGCAATCTCAGCTTAAGGAAACACAGCAGAGGCGGAGCCAGATGTGTTCATCTGGGTGCCTAACTGGTGATAAGGTGGGTGGGAATCAAAAAGACATACAGAAGCTCCAGTGCAAAGGAGGACACCAGGGCACAGTCCTGCCAGGGCCCAGCCCTGTATCAAGTGTGCAGATTGAAACAGGCCCAGGAGGTGTTAGAGAGCATGGAGCCATAGCCAGTGTGGTGGATGATTTTGTATGTCAATTTGGCCAGGCTATGGTGCCCAGTCAGTTGGTCAAATACTAGCTTTGCTAGAGCTGTGAAGGGACTTTGTAGATGTGATTAACATTTATAATCAGTTGATTCTAAGTAAAAAATATCACCCTCAATAATATGGGTTTGTAGTTGTCAGCTGCCATCAAGTCAGCCCCTGACTCATGGTGACCCCATGCACCATCAAATGAAATACTGCCAGGTTCTGTACAATCCCCATGATTGGTTGGGGATTGGACCATTGTGATCCATAGGGTTTTCACTGGCTTATTTTCAGAGTAGATCGCCAGGCCTTTGTTCCTGGTTCATCTTAGTCTGGAAGCTCCACTGAAAACTGTTCAACATGATAGCAACACTCAAGCGTCCAATGACAGACGAGTGGTGGCTGCACATGAGGTGCACTGGCTGAAAAGTGAACCTGGGATGCCCTCATGGAAGGTGAGAATCCTACCACTGAAGCATCAATGCCTCCAATTAGTAGCATTCTTATAATTGAAATGTGATTTTTATGTAATTACTCATAGCTTGAAGGCTACCTACAGGTTTCAAAGAGATTTCATTGGTAGTACTCCCCCCCACCCCTACATACGTAGTTAAAGACTCTGTAGAAAACATTGCTTGGGGCTTTTAATGTCAAACATCCCCAGCTACAAGCTCCAGACAGAACTGTATATGCCCTTACAGGAGTTTTTCAAAGAAGCAGTTCGGGGCAAATCCGAGTATTTTGTTCTCCTCACATCTAGAGGAAAAGCAACAAAAGTTAAATTAAGTAATTAAGGGTACTGAGTTAACATAGTTATATTTCTTCAACTATTGCTCTAATGGTACACATGATACAAAATTCGAAAGCAACCAACGGGTAAATGGTGAAAAGTAAGCCTCCCACATCCCACTTTCTGCAAGGCACCTAGATTTCCTCTCTCTGAGGAAAATACTGTTACTAGCTCCTTGTGTATCCTTCAAGAAATCTATGTATATATAAGCACATATACATATTCTATGCATACACAAATACATGGGAATTCTTTATTTGAAGTGTGAAGAAAAGAGTTAACACAGCAGGCCTGAGACTGCTGTCTTTAGAAAGACCTGCTTGCAACTTTGGCCCTTGGCTGGTGTCTGGGAACTTGGATTTTAGGAGGGTTCCCACTATTCTCTGAGTCTCTAATGAGCTTCTGTGGTGAACAGTTCACGTGTGTTGTCATAATTGAATGCTGGAGTAACTAATCATGCCCTATGTGACACCCCTGGGAGAGGACTTTGGGAAGCTTGTGCCTGGTTTCCTCTGTAGTTCACTCCATGTGCCTTTATCCTTTACTGATTTTGCTCTGTATCCTTTCACTGTAATAAATCTTAGCTGAGTCCTCCTAGCAAATCATTGAATCTTGGGATGGTCTTAGGGGCCTCAGACACAGGTAGATGTGTATTTTCTTCTTCATTACAGTCTATAGGGATCAGAAGTGTTGTAGGGGAAAAACATCACAAAGTTTAGTAAAGCAAAAAGTAAGTTTAATTCCGCATATATTCAAAAGGGCAAAAGTGGGAAACGGACAACCATGCTGCCAGAGTCATGTCTGTACAAGTCCAAAGAATATTATAAAATAGGCAAGAGCAGGAGAACTGACAAGCATGCAGCCACAGCCAAGTCTGCCCAAGTCCAAAGAATATTATAGAATAGGCAAGAATGGGAAAACAGACAAGCATGCTGCCACAGCCATATCTGCCTGAGTCCAAAGACAAGTTACAGAGCCATCAGTATATATTAACATTACAAATGGGCAAAACCATTGAAAGCTTAGCCTTTTCACAGATTGGCTAGAAACTGTGATCCTACATTTTGAATTGTCTTTCTTAACAATCATTGGTACAAGTTTCAGTAACAAGAGTCAGGAGGGTCTTCATTGGTCCAACAAATTTCTATTCACTAAATGCTAATAGAAAAAGATAAGAGTGGAAAATCTTCTGTGTTCTGCTTGATTGGTTTTATGTGAAAGTTTCCCTAAAAGATATTTTCCAAGAGTATCTTAGCTATTGTCTTTATACCTCAAGTCTCAGTTGATGTGTCCTTGTGAGTCCTTGTGAGCCCAGCTCCAGCTAGGTCACATTCTCTATGCTCAAGGACAGGGAATAAATGATTCCAGTATTATTTTCAAAATCAGGAAGTTCTTGCCATGTTGGTGAACACATTTCATACTAAGAATGTAACTCCTTATTGGGTTAATCAATCAGTCTCAGCCACTATTACTGTGTATCTCATCAATAAAAGGATGTTTCCCCTGACTTTCATCATGCCTATCTGTTCACTTGGTAGGTCAGCTACTGATAAGGGATCTTGTATGTCATCTGTAAATTCTCCAACATGATCCAATCTGGACTAGATGCCCTGCGATGCTCAGTAGTTATGAAGAGAAGATTCACCATCTTCTCAGGGGATTTCCACTTTCTCTCTTGAGACTTAGATCTACTGTTTCCTGCGTTCCTTTTGTTCCTCTTTTATTGCTTATTTACTTGTTTTGGTGGCACACATTCTGATAGGTAAATATTTTGAATTTTTTGAAAATATCTTCCTTCTACTTTTCCACCTGATTGATAATTTGGCAAAATTTTAAGTGGCAATCATATTTCTTTAGAACTTCAAATGCATTGTTTCACTGTGCTTAAGCATCAGCAACATTGCTGAGAAAACTGAAACCCTCCTGATTCCTGATCTTTGTAGCTTTTATTTTCTCTCTGTTGTGTGGGCTTCTACTTCTATATTATTTCTTGGTTCCTGTCCATGATTAAGGGGCCCTGGTGGCACAGTGGTTAAGAGCGTGGCTGCTAACCAAAAGGTGGGCAGTTCAAATCCACCAGCTGCTCCTTGGAAACCTTATGAGCCAATTCTACTTTGTCCTACAGGGTCACTATGAGTTGGAATCTACTTGACGGCAGTGGGTTTGATTTGGGTCCATGATTAAAAGTAAAAACTAAAAATTAAAAAGAGAGGCAGCTCTGAGTTGGTGGCAGTTGCTGTTGATTCGGAATTTCACTATAGGATGATCTGCGTGTGTGGCTTGTCTAGAAAAACATGATATAATATCCTTAGGTCAGACTCTTGTGTTAATCTGATTCTGGGAGCCTACTGAAGGATGTGATTGGGAGTTTATTTTCAGTAGGCACAAAGTCACTTATTCCTTTGTTTTAGGTAGAGTACTGACAAAAGAATTCTAATTCTCCTGGAACCCAGATTTCTGGCTTTCATGGAAGTTGGGGTAACCCACACAGGTCATTGCCCTTACATGTCTTTTTGAAACTTGAGCTTTGAAAAACATTGTTCCTAAAAGCCACCTTTGAGTCCAAACAACGGTCCAGATAAACTAATAAGATGAGTTTGCCTTGGGTGTTGTGCTCTTTTGAAGAATTCAGTCAGTTTCGGGAAACAGACTCCAAAGGTCAGACTGGGAGCTACATTTAGGGTAAATCAGTAATTATTTTAGTTGTTCTTCAAGACAATGCTGTATGAAAATCTTTCCTGACCACAGATTTGTTTACCAGTTCTGTTCCCACCCTTTTTTCCATGGCAATGCCCATAAAATTTGGTATAAGAATTTTGGAAGTTCTTTTCATCTTTGGAACATTCCTGACACTCTAGTCTGAATTTACCCTGATCTGCAAATTGTATATTCAATAGACTTCAATTTCTATTATTGGCTTAACATGATTTTTGTTTTAACAGTACCTGAATCTATTCCCTCTCCAGAGAATTAAACCTCCAAACTTCAGCCTGGATGGAAGAGGGACAGTGGCTCAGACACATGAAGCAGGAGGATCTAGAGATCTAACTGCCTTTCAAGCAGACTTCAATTCACCTAGTCTCCCATTTTTTGACATCCTGAGGTATCACTTGCAGTTCCTGAACCTTTCAAGGATTCCCAGGCTTAAACTGAGTTGCTCCTCACTACCTGCGGCTTTGGTCAGGTACTTCTCATCCTTGTGCTTTTCCAGCTTTCAAAACGTTTTTGCTGTCGTCTCCCTGTCCTTGTGGGTTCAAGCTTTCACTCGAGTTTAAGTATGGGAAGAAGCGAAATTAGATGCTTGTATTCAAACCGCCACTTTACCTCAGAAAGAATCCGTATCCCATAAATCTTTTGGCCATTCCAACCGTGTTCCTCAGCTATCCCTTCCAAGACAGTCTACTTCGCCATTTTGGGGCTCCCTCTACCTCCAGACTCCACAAGAAGACGAACAACCACAGAACAGCCAAAGGGAGCTGCGGTGTTGTGGGAAAGAGAAATGGTAGAGATGATATCCATTTGATTTAATTTCGTCATCAACCGGTCCATTGGCGCTTGAAGCACTGGCTTGCCCGGGGGAAATTTTTTGGCTGGCTTTCTTCATTCTCCTTCACCGGGACCCAGAGCGACTGCCACCCGTTTCCACGCCCCAGGCCGCGCCCCTAAGAGCGCCGCCCCGCCCCGCGCGCGGACGTAGCCCGCCCCGGCCTCTCAGTCCCACCCCGGCTACCCAACCACCCGCCGGCATGTCAGGGACGCCGCGCCGACCCCCGCTCCCCGGCGTCCGCCAGCTGAGCGGTCTCCCCGGCCTTGCGCTCCTGCTGCTGGCGCTGCCCCTCGTGGCAAAGGCCGATGCCCAGGCCGATGCCCAGGCCGAAGCCGAGGCCGACTGCCCATGCGAGGAGCCAACGCTGTGCCGGCCCATTCGCCACCACCCCGACCACGAGGTCAGCTCCTCTCGCCTGTCCTTTCGTTCTCGCCCCCAAGACTCGAACAGAATTTTAGAGTACAACCGAGCCCTGAAAAGAGGTGGTGTGGGTGCCGAAACCAGTTTTGATCACTCGCTGCGGGATTTCCTGTTTAATGGTTGTCTTCCTTTTACAGATAGGGAAGGCAGCTTGGGCTCAGAGAGGTTGAGTAACTCTTCCCAGGTCTCACAGACAGTAAGTGCCTGAGAGAGGCGGCAGTTGTTCACACCCAGATCTGACTCCAAAGGCAAACTCCTTTCATTACCCCTCTCTGCCTCTCTTGGTGCAGCTGGGTGTAAAAGCAAGGAAGGTAGGATAATTAGGTGTTCCCTAAACGAAACAAAACAACAAAAAACCCATTGCCATAGAGTCAAATTCCGACTCATAGGGACCTGATGGGACTGAGTAGAACAACTGACCCTTAGGGTTTCAAAGGCTTAAATCTTTTTGTTTAAATATCTTTTTTTTTTTTTTAAATTCTTATAGGTATATACCCAGGAGTGGAATTGCTGGATCTTATGTTTAGCTTTTTGAGGAACCACCAAAATGTTTTTCACAGTTGCTGTGCCATTTGACGTTCCCATCAGCAATATGCAAATTTCCAGTTTTCTCTACATCCTCACCAAGGCTTGTTACTTTCCATTGTTTTGATTATAGTCATCCTAGTTAATATGAAGTGGTACCTCATTTTGGTTTTGATTTGCATTTCCACAATAACTAATGGTATTGGGCATCTTTTCCTATGTTTGTTGGCTATTTGTATGTATTCTTTGGAGAAAAAGTCTATTCAAGTCTTCCCCCCCCGCCCCCCCGCTTTTCATATATTTTATTGTGTTTTAGGTGAAAGCTTACAGAGCATATTAATTTCCCATTCAAAAAATTTATACACAAATTGTTTTGTGACATTGATTGCAATCCCAGCAATGTGTCAGCCCCACCCCCACCCCCCCAGTTCATCTTGTTTTCCTGTCTCTCAGTGGCTTCCTTTGCCTTAGGTGGGAATGTGATATGGTGCAACCACTATGGAAAATGATATGGTGCTTCCTTATAAAGCTAGAAATAGAAATACCATATGGTCTAGCAATCCCATTCCTAGGAATATATCCTAGAGAAACAAGAGCCATCGCACGAATAGGCATATGCACACCCAAGTTCATTGCAGCACTATTCACAATAGCAAAAAATGGAAATAACCTAAGTGCCCATCAAGGGATGAATGGATAAACAAATTATGGTACCTACACATAATGGAATACCATGGAATGATAAAGAACAATGATGAATCCACAAAACATCTCACAACGGATGAATCTGGAGGGCATTATGCTGAGTGAAATAAGACAATCATGGAAGGAGAAATATTGTATGAGACCACTATTATAAAAACTCAAGAAAAGGTTTACACCCAGAGAGAAACAATTTTTGATGGTTACGAGGAAGGTGAGGGGAGGAGTGAGGAGGCGAAATTACTAACTACATGTGATAACTTTGGTGAAGGGAAAGGCAATACATACACAGTATAGGAGAAGTCATCACAACTTGACAAAGGCTTAAATCTTTACAGAAGCAGACTGCCACATCTTTCTTACCCGAGTGGACTCATTAACTGCCGACCTTTCCGTTAGCCGAGCACTTAACCACTGTGCCACCAGGGCTCCCTGTTCCCTAAATAGCAAGACTTATGTCTTGGTTTCCAAGAGAATGAGGATTTAGTTTGAAGGATCTCAGCACTCCCAAACAGTGTGTTAGAAGGCAGAGTGTTTTGCTTACCTTTACTTTTCTATAACTGCCAGCATTTTCCTTATAGCACCTCAACCACCCAGGAAGGGTGGTAAAAACAGATCTTTCAATAAATTTTCTTTCTACCCACCTAACAATTTATAAGGCCTTTGTCAACTTGACCAAACTCTATTATGGAGGAAATGTTAAAACTAGAACCACCTGACTGCCTGAAGTTTGACTGTATCAGGAGTTGGACAACTTCAGGGAGGTGGAAAAACTTAGTCTGAAAAACAGATCTTTTGTAGAGATAGGAACGATTTCAAGTTCTTAATCTAGCAGATGATTAAATTTGAGGCTGGGGATTTAAATGCATGTATATAAACATATGTATATATAAACATAGCAATCCTGGTGGTGCAAGGATTAAGCACTGGCTGCTAACAGAAAGGTTGGCATTGGAACCCACCCAGCAGCTTTGTGGAAGAAAGACCTAGCGATCTGCTTCCTTAAAGATTACAGCCAAGAAATCCCTGTGAGGTGGTTCTCTGTCACGTGGGGTCGCTACGAGTCAGAATTGACTCAATAGCAATGGATTTGGTTGGTATGTCTTATTCACTGATGGATTCTCAGTGCCTACTATAGTGCTTGGCATATAGGTGGTGGTTAATGTTTTTTGGATGATCACTGTGATACTCTTCTTGGTTTAAGTGATAATTAGGCATTCCCATTTTGCTCAAGACTGTACACTGGTTTATTTAACTCTTATTACTGTTGTTCTGGCAGGTCTTTGTGTTTGATGTTGGATACAAAACTTGGAAATATTATGATTGGTCACAGATTACAACTGTGGCAACTTTTGGAAAATATGACTCCGAACTTATGTGCTACGCTCATTCAAAAGGAGCCAGAGTAGTGCTTAAAGGTAAGTTACAGTTTTTACCAGATGTATGTAACTTGATAAATTTACATTTACAATGGTGGTGTTACTTGTATTGTTCACGCTAGTCCTGGCTTTCCAAAAAATTCCCTCTTTATGCTTATCTGGTATTTTTCCAGCATCCTAAAATTAATCTGAGATACTGTTTAATTCATTTTCAAATATAAATATTTTTAAAGTGTTAAATAAACCAATGTATGGTTTTGAGCAAAATGTGAATGCCTAATTACCATGATAATCTTTAGTCATAGTCTATAATTTCTGCTTCTAATTTGATAATGATTTTACTAATTATTCATAATGTTAAATGAGAGAATCTGAGTAATACCTATCTATTATTTTGTTATATTATTTATCCATTTAGAAGACTTAAATTGGCGGTTCAGTATTTTAGTGTGATGAGATTTTTTAAAGACATTTTGATGTCTTTGGAATGGATTTACAAAGTAAATGTCATTAAACTATAAAAAGCATATTTGCACAAAAGATGTATATTTCTTCCACAGGAGATGTATCCGTAAAGGATATCATTGATCCTACTTTCAGAGCATCTTGGATAGCTCAGAAACTTATTTTGGCCAGAAAACAATATATGGATGGAATTAATATAGACATAGAGCAAGAAGTTAATTGTTCATCACCAGAATACGATGCATTAACTGCTTTAGTCAAAGAAACCGCAGATGCTTTCCACCGTGAAATTGAGGGATCACAGGTAAAAATTCTTTTTGTTTTTTTTGGAAACTCCATATTTTCCATATTGAATGTACTCATAAGGGTATGACTAATGGAATGGGAAAGAATTTCAGCATATATTTTCTAAAAAATTTTCTGGAACTTTAGAGAGTCTTACTGGAGGGATTTTAAGGAATTTTAAGGTGCTAAATCTCTTCTCTAAACATCAAAATACAACACCAGGATTGCCCCATCTACTTGCCTTACAGCAGGGTTAGAAGTATAGTGAATCCTGTGACAGCCAGAATTCCACAGGACTGCCTGGTTTTTCCTCTCCAAGTTTTCCACTTTTGAAAACAGTGCATTCTTACCACTTTTCTGTCGCTCCTTTTAGTGGAAAATATTTGAATTTTCTTCTGTGACAGGTTTCCACCTTACATCGACCAGTTATGGCTATTGCAGGTTTTACTGTATTATATAAGCAGTGGGGACAGCAGGAATCAGGGAGGTCCTAGTTGTGCAAGTCTTGCTTTCAGCAGTGCAGGACGGAAATAGCTCTTCCCTAAGAGGTAGTTCTAGGGAAGTGTCTGTCTCCCTTACTTCATAGACTCTGAACTTCTCGCAAAGCACCCACGGCCCAATATGGCTCAAAGGACAATTCCATAGCACCTATCAAAGCCATGGCAAAAGGCAGTGTACTTCCCCACTGCCCAAAGGAGCAGAAGATCACAGCACAAGGCATCTTGCTAGGCAGTGTGTGGATAACAAGGGAGATTGCGGCCCCAAATCATTGATTCTCAGACCTGGCTGTCAAGGTAACTATAGGTCTTAAATAACATTAATACATACATATTAAGCACTCATTTCCAGAGATTATTATTTAGAAGGTTTTGGGTGAGCCCAAAGTCTTTATTTCTAAAAAGTTTCATAAGTAATTCTGGTTAAGAATTACTGAACTAAGTAATGAGCTCTTTGAAGGCAGAGACCAACTTTTTGATGTCCCATACAATGTTCAAAAATAATTTATTGAGTGAATGAATGATCCCTGCTATTAAAATATTTACAGTCTAGTTCACTGGGAGATAGGTAGATACAGTGAAACTTGTGAGAGCTGGAACTCAATGCGACAGCCTTGTTTTTCTGGGTCTAAAAAGTTTTCTGCCTTTGAAAGAGTGCAGTCGTATCCCTTTTCTATCACTTGTTTTAGTTGAAAATATTTGAGTTTTCCTTCTCTGATAGGTTTCTGCCTTACACAGTTTCCGGCTTTCGAAGGTTTTACTGTAGATCATCCAAAGTAGGGCATTATGAATAGTACAGACCAGTGATTCCTAAATGGGTCTCAAAACCACCTGGGAGTGCTTGTTGAAAATACCCCCAGAGACTGATTCCTTAGATCTGGGAGAGAGTCTATTTCTCCCAAGTGCTCTAGGTGATTCAGGTATAGTTGATTATCATAAATTTGAGAACCACTGGTAAAATAATAAATGATATAAGAGGCCTGACATGCAAATGGGAAAGTATGTTGTACGGAATTTAACTTTTACAGGTGAGTACAATTTAGATCTAGAATAGCAAATACCTAGCATGCGGGTTACCACATCCCTCTTCTCACAAAGTTTAGTTTTAGAAACATTCTTCTCTCGCTAGATAGCCATGACTAATACATTAGAGTTGGCATGTGGGAAACAATCTATTTGCCAGTCCTAATTAAGTAATAGTTAAAGTTCAAGAAGGAAGAGATTGATCAAAGACCTTGAGGTAGGAACATCTGTTTCCATGTTAGCGGGGCTGGTAAATCACTTGGAGATACTGTATCAAGTTCATATTGAGTGATTAGTTGGAGGTACCGTTGCAGAGGTAGGCCAGATTGTAGAAGATGCAGAATGCCAGATTGAGGAGTATGCATTCTATTCTGTATGTAATAGGTCATATGTGTAGGACAGTGTTTTGGGATGATTATTTTGTAGTAGTATGTAAAATAGTCTAGAGGAGAAGGGGAGACCACTAAGGACTAACCCAGGAATCCAGTAATGAGGGATTTATGGTTTGGATTGACATGATGGCATAACCCTAACTCTCAGCAAGTATTCATTAAATATTTGTTAATTCATTAACTAATGGAAAGGAAGGGACAAAACAATAGTAAGAGACCACCCAAAGGAAAATGTGAGATTAAATTTGGGTGTGAGGGAGGAAGAAAGGGTCAGAAAATAGTCCAAACGTTCTTAAACTGGTGGCCATAAAAAATGACTAAAATAGAGAGTCAGAAAGGGGAAATGAGTTCTGGGAAAAAGATGATGATTTAAGTTTACAGAATTGTGGTCATAGAATTAAAGAGCTAGAAATGCCCTTCAAGAGCTCTTTCTACACCCTCATCTTTAAAGGTGGGTAAACAGATTCAGATGCTGTAAGTGACTCAGCCATAGCATAGAACTAGTTACAACAGCCAAGAGTAGATCCCGAGTCTTTCGATGTCTTATGTAATTTACTAATATTACCTTCTTGAAAGTCTGGGACTAACCATGACAGGAAATCCAGGTGAAAATAAATATTCTTAGTGTTCAAGAGAGAGGTAAGGACTTAAAATATGGATTTGAGATTTACCTCCTTTGAGGTAATAATTCATTTCCTGTACTATGCTATAGATTACAGCCTAGAAAACACTACTTGGCATTTCTCCTGTGTCATATGTTGTAACTATGAGTTGATATCAACTGGATGACACCTAACAAAAAGAGCAAACAACTATTATTATAACCTGTCTCCCATTTTATAATAGGAGGCAGTGATAAAATGGGGTCCAGTATGTAAAAATTTAACTTCATAAGCAGTTTCTCTAGAGCTATTGAGGAAGGCTTGTATGTGTAAAGCAGAGCTTCCTTTAGTGCTCTTTCATACTTAGAGAATTATTAGATAGAACTTTGAGAAAGTCCCAAAAAATTATGTTAGAATAAATTAGCCATAGTATAAAAATTTGACCTAAAGTAGCTCAACTTTTTGTAATAATAAGTTTTTATGTACTGCCTAATTAAGAAAAAAAAAAAAAATCAACCTGTAATGAAGTTTTAGAACATTTGCACACATATAAGATAAGGGTAACTAATATTAGGCTAAGTCAATAAAAAAATGTTTTGGGAGTTCCGGCAAAATGGCGCTCTGGGCAGAAGCACCATGCCGTCCCTCCACAGCAAAGATCTGAAAAACTAAGCCGAACAGAGAATACAACAATTCTGAAACCCTAAAACATCAAACGAAGAGATAAAGAACTCAGCCAAGCACCAAATGGAGTGAGAAAACTGACAGAGAACGGAGAGCAAGGAGAGATTCATGCAGAGGTCCCCTACCAACTAACGCAGCGCAGATCCGCCATCTCAGACTCCTGTCGGAGACCAGCAAACAGGGCGTAAGAGAAAGCAGCCTCACGGAGCATCCAGCGGGAGACAAAACAACCTGTAATTGGTGATATACGCTTTCCCACCCCCCACCCTTCTTCACCCCGACTCGGCCTCCTCTGCTTCCCGCGGCCACAGTCTCTTGACCGGGAAACAGCGGCTGCTTGGATTCCACACACCCGAACGGGTGGCTCTCTGAGTGCCATTTGTTGGCTGCTGGTGTTGCTTTTT